TAAGACATCATGTGTTCTGTGTTTGTAGCTTTATATCTGAATAATATCATTCAGTACTCTCTTTGTAAGACATCATGTGTTCTGTGTTTGTAGCTTTATATCTGAATATTATCATTCAATCTCTCTTTGTAAGACATCATGTGTTCTGTGTTTGTGACCTTATATCTGTATAATATCATTCAGTCTCTCTTTGTAAGACATCATGTGTTCTGTGTTTGTGGCTTTATATCTGTATAATATCATTCAATCTCTCTTTGTAAGACATCATATGTTCTGTGTTTGTGGCTTTATATCTGTATAATATCATTCAGTCTCTCTTTGTAAGACATCATGTGTTCTGTGTTTGTGGCTTTATATCTGTATAATATAATTCAGTCTCTCTTTGTAAGACAAAATAATATTGGGAATAGCAGACACTACTGCTTAAACAGAATAATATTGGGAATAGCAGACACTACTACTTAAACAAAATAGTATTGGGAATAGCAGACACTACTATTTAAATAAAATAGTATAGTAATGGCAGGTACTACTGCTTAAACAAAATAGTATTGGGAATGGCAGACACTACTACTTAAACAAAATAGTATTGGGAATAGCAGACACTACTACTTAAACAAAATAGTACTGGGAATGGCAGACACTACTGCTTAAACAAAATAATATTGGTAATAGCAGACACTACTGCTTAAACAAAATAGTACTGGGAATGGCAGACACTACTATTTAAATAAAATAGTACTGGGAATGGCAGACACTACTATTTAAATAAAATAGTATAGTAATGGCAGATACTACTGTTTATAAAATAGTATGGGGAAATGGCAGATGCTATGCTCAAAGAGAATAATCTAACAAAATAATGTGAAGGACTGAGAGACTACTCATTAAACAGACAAATTTAAATTTGTATGAAAACTTCAGCAATAAAACCATGTTTATTAAAACAGCAGGATGATGAAATAATGTTGCTCATACACTGTACTTTACATTAAAGATATAAGTTTATTGTAAGATGAGGTTTTTTGTGTCTCTACAGTACTGAAATCATCTGTAGGCTTGCAATAATAATATCTGAGCATCAAGAGAAAGATCACTGGCTTTAAGTGATCATAAAATAAACTATACCTTTGTTTGTTTTATTCAGTACTTTTTTATATTTGGAAGAGTTTTAACAAGGCTACATCACAACATTATCTGTTTGTAACGTTCCCTTTGTTGGTAACGCTTGACTCCCTGTTTGTAACATTCAAATTGGCTCAGTGATTTGACTCAAGTGGAAGTTTCAAGTTCAAATCCCATTTGAGTGGGGTTTTTAAAATTATTAACTCATCATGTTTAGAGCAAGGTATTACAGTATTAGAAAAAACCAGAATAACATGATGCTTCAAATTAGGGATTTGAATTATTTGTTAACATTTAATTACAAAAACTGGGTGTCTAAGAGGTTATGGTGCTGGACTATCATGAGAAAGTTTCGCGTCCAAATCCCAGTTGAGTTGGGATTTTATGGGTTTTTTTTTAATTATATTTATTTCTTTATATGTGTATTATAATTTTTACTGCAAGCTCTTTGACTATTTAGAAAAATACAAATACAGTTATGGATTAAATAAATGATAATAAACACAAGTAACTGTGTGTGTCAAAAAAAAACTTAAATATCTTTTAAACCTAATAGATGGCATTACAATACATTAAGGTTTGAACAAAACATAAAAATATACAGAAGTCGATATTTTGTGAAGTACTAGAAAAAAGGAATAATCTTTACAAAACATGCTACAAAATATAGGCTTAATTTTCAGATGAAAAATTAATAAGCACTTACAGTCACATGATGGGCAGTCAGCTCACCTGTTATATTTCTTATCTTTATATGTCTATATTACTAAGCCTTTTATGACATTATAAATTTAAATAGTCCATTTTGTTTAGTTAATAAATCCAGTACATGGCAGTTAAACAGAAATTTTCACACATTAAATGTTACCTCCAATATTGTCTCCTCTGGTAACTCTGGGGCTATAAACATAATGGGTTCTTCTAGATGTGGTGGTGAATTGCCATATGGAAAACAAGCTTGAATGCTAAGTGAAGAATCATACAACTTGCAACAACCAGTTGAGTTACGACGCAGTCGGCCAGGTGACCCACAAGGAGTCATCATTTCATTTAAGCAACAGCGATGAGAGGGATGGCCATACGGCATTATCATGGTCTCTGGGGGAGTGTGTGAAACTGAAAAAAATTCGTTATAAAATAACTTTAGAATGTATGAATGGCAAGAACATATTTCTAATATAAAAACTGTCTATTACGGAAACAAAGCACCCTTCTTTTTCTGGTTATTATCTATCCACATTTTTTAACAATCTTCATATGAACAGGTTATCAAATGACAACATTTCTGGTTTGATTTATTAGTTGTGGCATAGCAGCTCATAGAACGGCTCGGAGTTTTTTTTTCAAGTATAAACTTTTAACTCTTAGACCAATTTGAGATCTAATACTGTTTAAATGAAATAGTATGGGGAAATAACAGATATTACTGCTTAAACAAAATAGTATAGATTAATTTACTCTAATCCTGCCTAAAAGAATTTTAATTTGAGGGTAGGCTGGTGGAGATCCCGATGAGTAAGAAAGTCGAATCGAGTACACATGCACCATATGATTGGTATTGCTGGCACACAAAAATATATCTAATAAAAGACAAAAAAAAGGTCTCTTAGGTTAATTTACTTTAATTCTGCTTAAAAGAATTTGAAGTGCCGCAGGTACCGAGGATTCCTTGTACGAAAATAAAGTGAAAAAATGTTTTAACTAAGTTCAGCTCGATTAAAAATGAAATAACACCTTCACTTTTGAACCCATACAAATGAGATTTAAGAATATAATTTAATTAAGAACATGTGAAGTGCACGTGTAAAAAAAAATATATATTTTTTTGACAGTACCAATATGAATATAACGAACGTTCTAATTGTAACAGCTTTTATTCTCACTCTTTAAAGTTTATCTGATATTACTGTATCAAGTTTTGATTACATTACTTTACAATTATTTGCTGTTTGATGTAAACCCATAAAAACTAAAGCTATTATAAAGAATCCTTGTTTATTTTTCAAATTCAACTGTCAGTGCTCATATTTTCTTACTGTACTGTGTTCCTGGTAAAGAGATAGCTCTATGAAAACCTCTTTCACTGAGTCTGCTCGAGCTTCCTGACCTATTCAGGCTACTCTTTTGATGGTCCATCAGTTCTGGAACTCCGTATACACTCCCTAAAATAACGATCAAACAATTTTTTGATACACACAGTTAACAAGATATATATAAAAAAGTTCTTAAATACATAAATTTATTTTATAATGTCAATATTAATTCTAGAATGAAGGAGAAATCACAGTTTACAATTTTTACTTAATCTACATTTAAATTTTTAAGCTTGTTTTAATATATATTAAAAAAAACATATTCTTATACTTATAATATTGAAAATTCAATTCTATATTTCTGCTCTCAACAAACATGAAAGTAAATAACGCCAGTACCTGACTTGACAAATTAGTTTGTACTGTTAAGAGGAGGAATGTATGTGTACACATCTTATAACCCGAGTACTTTCAAAAGGTGGATCTTTCTCCTCTAGAGCAATCTATCTATAATTGATTTTTGAAGCTAACATCATGTATGTACATACATATATATATTCAGATTCTGTTACACACAGTACTAACCAGGCCAGAACTTCTGAGAACAGATCTCGGGAAGTGTTACAGCTCTTGTACTGAATGTCATTCGCCGTGTTGAAGAACCACTGTATCTGTACACGTCTATTCCTTTTGTCTGCGAGTGCTCCTTCTGATTTCTCAGTTCACTGTGTGACTCTTCTGTTCTAGAGAGTTCTTTGGTGGGAGAACCAAGGATTGGTGATAATGGATTCCCCGTGGCAAAAGTTGGCAGGTTGGCTGCCATTACAACATCTGTTTGCGGAAAAACAAATTTACCAAAACAAAACATTATTTTAAGAAATGGTTTCCTTACACACAATAATACTATCTCAGACACTGCTGTGTTTTCTTACACTTAAAAACATTATCTCAAACAATATTGTGTTTCCTCACATTTAATAGTATTATCTCAGACAGTATTGTTTCCTTTTACTTAACATTATTTTCTCAGATAGTTAACATTTTCCTGAACTGAAAATGTATTTCCAATAATACTTACCTCTGTTGACACTATAGCTAATTCTTGATCTCCAGGGTTTCCACTCTTTGTCCATCTAAGCATTGAAAATACTTGCTCCAGTCTTTATATACCACACTTGAATACCCTTGGCAAATTCTAATTTCCAAATTTCTCCATCAACTTAAATGCACCCTCTATCTAGGTACTGTATATAAGCTACTAATTCAGATAATTTAACCACTTTTTCGAGACATAAACCAGTTTTTAATGGGGAGCTATGGCAGGAGCGTGTCAGCGGAGGTAAGTATTATTGGAATTACATTTTCAGTTTAGGAAAATGTTAACTTCCAAAACATACTTACCTCCGTTGACACTATAGTTAGAATCCCACATTGAGAAGGTGGAGGGGCTGGTGCAGGCATGAACCATACAGAAAGCATCTGTATAGAACAGAAGTGTACCAAGATAAAGATGGTACAAGAGTGAGGGAACCATAGAACACAAGTAATTGTCCGTAAGGCCAGCCCCAACCAGATAGCCGAGGAGTATTCTGCTTGCCCCTGGAATTATGGAGAGGAGGTGGAACCTGTGCTCAACCAAGGACCTAGGATAGGACCACTTCGCATTTGGAATTATCAGAAGATAGTGGACCTCCTTCCATGAACAATATACGAAACCAACATTGATCAAAGAGAATGGCCATGCTCCCTCCAACTGGATAGCTTCACGTCAAATCTGAACCGGAAATTAAGAGTAGGCTCACGTGGAGCTTGGTGCCACTCCTACTGACATCAGGGAAAAACATCCAGGAACCCGAGCAGGAGGGACCCCAACTTCACCCTCTTCCCCAAAAGTAGAGGAACACACTCAAACACTCTGGAGGAAAAGCCTCTGCCCGCCACCCCAGCGACTGGAAACTGGAAGTGGTAGGCGCCTAGATGGTCTTATGGAACACCCCATTTCGACAGAACCTGTTGCAACCTGTATTAATTATAGTGAAAGTGGTTACTAGTGTGGAATTGAAAAGAGAAAACATACCTGTCTGAGATTCAAAAACATTCTGATATTTGGAATACCAAAAAATAGTGGATAAAGATGCCTTATATAAAACCACTGTAGACAAAGCAAGACCCCTCTCAAATACTCAAGTCATAAAACAGTATATGGTAGATACTTTAGGATGAAGAGGGTTTAAATTCTTTTTAATACACCACTGATGATATGTATTCCAGATGGATCTCAGGATGAGGTAGTGGAATGGGTACCCCAATAGTATTGTTGTTCCGATCCAACCACTAATCGCAATCGACGTTGTTGCTCCTGAGTAATGAGACAGGATGATCCATAGGATCGGAATGCATGCATGATCCATTGGTCGTGTAGTGACCACTGAAGGGATTTCATATGTGCTCATTCCAAAGGAATGAGAGGTTCGAGGGATGCCTACATCCCCAAAAGAGAGAGAATATTGCATCTATGACAGAATAAGTTTCTCCAGTCTAATAAGGAAGCCTGCTTTTGTGACTTATGAAAGAAGAATCTAAGTGCATTGTTCTGCTAATTGACGGGATGGTGCCAGTCATCCATATAATGATGTGTGCACAAGCCCAAGGAATGCAAATGATGAGAAAAAGCTTGAACAGAAGACATAAGGTGCTGATGCAAGACCAAAAGGTAGAGTTCTGAACTGCAGCACCTGACCCTCATGCACAAATCTGAGAAACTTCCGGGAAGATTCCACATTGGAATATGGAGATAAATGTCAGAAACATCAAACTTGGTCATCCAGAGCCCTGATGCAAAGTGCCATCATAGGTTGAGAAAAGATTCCATTGTAAAGTGAGGAGGATCTAAAAATTGGTTGGGTCAAGACAGATCAATGATTGGACACCAATCTCCTGTCTTTTTGGGTACAAAGAATAAATGGAATCGACCCTCTCTACTGCCCTTTTGACTAACAACTCTCTTACGGCCTGGGAACGAAGTTCCACTCACTGTGGATCTGTTGGAGGGGAAAAGGCAACAGGTTGTGCAGATAATGGTGGAGGTGATGTAAATTGAACGACCAACCCTGAAGTCGGAACATGAAGTACCCAAGGATCTCAGGTGAAAGAACTCCACATGTCCAGAAAGTGATGTAATCGTGCTCCCACTGCTCCACCACCCATGGGATGTCACTGATGCTGTTGTTGATGGTCCGCCTGAGCCAAAGATCCTCGAGAATACGGATAGAATCTATTATGGGAACCAACAGACCTGGGAACTGAAAGGGGGGGTCGGGAAACACTGTGAGCTGATACTTTCAAATTAGCACCAGAAAGGCGAGAAGCCAACGATGATGAAAAATGTAAAGGAGCTGAATCAATTCATGATTCTAATGTCTCTGGAACTCTAGCAAACAAAATGGGATGAAAAAAAAAGGAGTTTCCCATAACTCCCTGAGGGCAGAAGATGATAAACGAACATTTTCTAACAAAGCATCTCTACCCAATAAATTACAACAACAAACCAGCCAGGAAACCAGAGAAAGAACTGAAGAAGACAGTCTGACTGAGGTAGACATCAGCAAAATCCCATACTCATCCTCCAGTTGCTGTTGGGAATGTTGATAGGCTTTTGACAAAAGTTGGATTGAAGACAAATACTTCAGGACAGTCACGAGAGTAAGACGATTCCGAGAAAACTGTGATCTGTTTAAAGTGATCACAGGTTCTCAACTAGAACACCACAAATCCAAAAGGGGGTCCATTTGTTCAGAATCTGAATATGCCTCCTCCTGGTGGTGATAAGCCAAAGCATGCTGTTCCAACAAACTTGGGGGGACAAGGCATAGCTGTCCTGTCGCGTAATTGAACAGCAAATCTCCCAGCATGAATAGCAATATCATGAGAAGGAGGAAAAAATCAAGTAGTCTCTTGCCATCCTTTCTGCCAACAAAGAAGAAGTAGAGTCAAATACAATAGGAGAGACCCCCAAAACATCACAAAACTAAGTAACTAACTGAAGAAAAGGGGCTGGAGGTGGCTGATCAAGATGATCCTCCATTGAGGCCAATAAAAGAAGGAGCCGGAAAAAGCGAGTCTAAATTCTCCCCAGCTGTTCCCAGGCCATTTGTAAAAGCCACCTCAAAACCCCCAGAAAACACCCTCAGTCTACATATATGTCTCCATCTCGCAACAGATCACATCACAGACAGCTTTGACTGGGTGTGACCCCTCCCCTGGCCGTTGACAAACTCCAGATAGCAGAGATGGAAGAGAAGAGGTCTGGTTGGCCTCCATAGTAGAAACATTAACTCAGGAATTCACATCCGTTGGTATGTTTGTTTTTTTTTGCTTTGTTAATATAAGTTATAAATATAAAAGAAGGTATAACCGTAGTAACACCAACCACATTCAAAGTCGCAACGTAAGTTGCAAATAATCACAACGCTCCTGTTTACAGAAACCCTTGCTGAATGCTTTGTCGAGAAAAGTGATTACATTATCTGAATTAGGTGCATATATAAAAGACTGGAGCAAGCATTTTCAATGCTTAGATAGGCAAAGAGTAGTAACCCTAGAAATTGAGCACTAGCTATTGTGTCAGTGGAAGTAAGTATGTTTTGGAAATACTGTTTCCTTATATTTAACAATACTATCTCAGACAATATTATTTCCTTAAACTTAGTAATATATCTCAGACAATATTGTTTCTCTTTACTTCACAATATTATCTCAAACAATACTGTTTCCTTATATTTAACAATATTTTTTATATTTTACTTTTCCTCAAACTTGTATTGATTACATACTTGACCGTCTTAGAGGGGAGGTGGAAAGTGACAGAGATGGTGGGGGAGTAAAACACTGTCGGAGAGATGCTGAAATATGTCTACTGGATAACGAAGGGGGTGTTCCACCACTATAATTCCTCCTTCTTCCACCCCCAGGTGGTGTGCCAATAGTAAACTGAACTGTAACCAAAATATATTAAGTTTTACACCAACAAAAATAAATAATTCCAACATGCAGCATAGAAATATTCTGTAGATAAAAGAAGATAAAATCCTTAGTGAAAATATCTAGCGTGTTTGGAATATTTACCAGTAGGAGGTGGGGAGAGGGAGCAAATGGTGGTGACTGTCCAATGCTCACTAGACTGAGAACTTGAAGAACCTTTCCTTGGTCTAGTTGATTCTGAGCCGAGTACAGAGGCCTGGGGGAAAGAAACAGTTATTGCAAGTCTTAATTAGCCATTAACTTAAACATTTCTAGTTATCTTTTTATCGATAAATATTTATTATAGAGATTATTTTGCATTGTCAGCTTAATATACAGATTTAAAACTAATCTAAATCTCATAAGATGGCCAGAACCTCGTGAGATATTATTGGGATTACAGCCCAAAATATCGATAACAGTGAGGGTACCTAATCAATGGAACAATGTATTCTAATTCTTATAAGTAAGAACATTAGAACATTATATCTAATTAGATATACTCATTAACAGGTTGAAGTTTAATTGGATCTAAGTAGGTAGCTTGCTCTGATTTAGACCATAGATGGCTATTACTGGCCTGTGGCCCAGATTTGGCCCATGAAGGCATTTCATCTAGCCCATTTAAAAAAAAATCATATCTTATTTTGCCAAACTGGCAAAACTAAACCATAAAACGAAATTATGACTAACAAACCAGTTCCATGATGCTCCCAGAACTTTCTTCAAGTGTAAAATCAGCTATTTATTCAAAACAGGCCATGAAACTAATAATTGAGGATCTATAGATGACATTATGTTTCAATTAAACAAATATTCTGAACATATTTTACCAGGTTATATATTTTCAGCCCCCAGTCTAGATAATAAACTGGCCCACAGTCGTAAAGAAGTTGGCCATTCTTGATATAGACATAATTTAAAATCTTTCAAATGTACAGTATAATAAAATTCCTTCACCTCTGCCCTTAAAGTTTGAACCTTTAAAAACAAATGAACAAAACGAGACAAAACTTTGATCTTTTCCTAAGTGATTGTTTGTGTTCACTTAGCATACCTACATATATATCCATTATGACTTAAGGATGACAATGAGGACAGGTAATGGAAAAATAATTCTGAATTTTAATCTCATTATAATGTTGTTTTTGTTTTGTATATATATATAGAAACACACATTCTGTTAACTACATGTATTTTGATATGGACATACCTCTTTATACTTCATCGCTTATGAATGCTCATCTAATCTGATACACTTTTTAATCTGGAAAATAGAACACTGACTCACAATTGTTCTTTTTATTCATTTTCTCTTTGCACTTGTTCTTCTTGCAGTACTATTGGATTATAGCCAACCACTAGATCTACTGTATTCTGATTTAGGATTCTACTGTGTTCTTTCTTTTGGCAAATATGTTAACTAACCCCAACACTTGAGTATAATTTTGAAGTTCTTTTAACTTAAAAGTCAACGTGAATTAGGTAAGAAATGTGTAGTGTGGGTTTTTCTTTATTGTAAGTATGTGCTTTTTATAAATAAATAATAAATTAAAGTAATCACCTTAGGTAGGTGTGGCGAGGAGCCACAGGAAGACATGCGAGCTGCTGGTGCGACTGATGAAGGTCTTTCTCTTTGTGCTCCAACTGAGCTAGATGGCTCTTCCTCAAGACTCTTCTGTATTTGTTCATAAGCTTCCTTCTGTGAGGGAACAGGTATTGGCTCAGATCGCTGGTAGGATCCACTTACGCAGGCTGGAGGTATCAGTGCAGGAGAGCCACTCACTGGAAGATAGGAGGGACGGGGAGAACCTAAACCAGAAACTCTAGGTGCGTGAAATGTTGCACTTCCAAAATGAGGATTAACAGTAACGTTGCTGGACATCCTTGGAGATTGAGAAACCTGGTTTCTCGATGGTGAGCTGTAAATTAAAACATCTTGATATTTTCACATTTTGTTAAAACCAAAAACTTATTATCAAATATTGTAAACCTCAGCATGATTGGGTATTGTTTCTATTCTGTATAATGGTGTATAAAAGACATTTCAATACTGGAAATAAACGACCTTATAACACCAAATTTGTTATTTTTCTTTAAATGGACACTCAGTGTTTCGCTTTACAGCTTCTTCAAAAGGATTCCACAACTATGTTTATATAATAACTTACTGTTTCCATCTCCACAACTATGTTTATATAATAACTTACTGTTTCCATCTCCACAACTATGTTTATATAATAACTTACTGAAACAGTAAGTTATTATATAAACATAGTTGTGGAGATGGAAACATAGTTGTGGAGATGGTCTGGAGATGTTATGGAACTTTAGACAGATAATTTAACTAAATATGAATATTGTTTTGTTTTTAATTATTTCAGTTTCAGTGTTACCAATCATAATTGGAGGCCATGATACAATTTTCGATTTTTCTAATATTATAGCAAGGCAGAAATTTAGCCAAGTGTAGAGTATATGAATTGAAACTTTCACATTTTACCTGCCAGGACTGACACAATGCATCTTCAACGAACCACTAGGATGAAGGTTTCCTACAAATAAAAACAATCATGAAAGCATTCTTATTTTTCTAACTTATCCAGAATCTTACAATTTTAAAAACATTACGTTAGGTTCGGGGCACAATCAACACTGTCTACGAAACAATAGTAAACAAGCAAATTCTGTAATACTTAAGAAACTTGGTAAAAGAATCTAAAAATCTTTAAAGATGTTTCTGTTTGAGGCTTAGGAAAAAAAAACTATCCCAGCAGTATGTTGTGTTAAATCTTTAAGTGGTGTTTTCCATTCACAGTTAGTTGCATAGTAAAACCTAAACATGATGTTTTGAAAAACATCATCCATTTATATTTTTGTTCTTAGTTAAGATAGCAGGATCTTTATCTGTCTAAAACTCAAAAATTAGCAGGTTGAAATGTTCAAATAAATTATGATTAACGAAAATTCAAAGATGTAAAAATCATGAGTAATTTAGACAAGCTAACACAGTGCACACAATTGTTGAAAAAAAAAACTTTTTATACTCATTTCAAAAAAACCTAAGGAAAGCTCAGAATGGATTGATTACCCTTGAATATTTCAAGTACATTTTGAAAGATTAGAAATATCTGTGTTGCCAGAAATGATTGATACATACCTGATGGTTCTGCAAGGTCGGCCGGAACCATCACAAAGTCCTGTGAAATCAAGTACTTCATATATGATAAAAGAATATTTACTTCCTTCTAATGATGACATTTTTATAAAAGCAACCACATCAAATCTAACCCTATCGTTTACCGATCACAAGAGAAACCGATTAAATAAAATCTAAGTTGTAAAATTACAGTTTAATGCTGAAAACAGGTGAAGCGTTGTAAACCACTCAGCCTTATATTCGAAATAAAAATCACATTAGACTTGAGCTGGGACCAGACGAAGAAGAAAGTGAAGTTTGACATGAATTTTATCACAAATAAGGGGTTCAAACTTTTCTACTTTTGTTAGGCTGAACTCTCCAGTCATTAGGTAATTATATTTATGGAAAGAAAACCAACCAGAAGAAAAATATAAATACATTACCTCTACTTACCTGCACATAAGTTTCACTTAATGATTTATTTGTTAAAATCAAAACTTTTTGTTTGTTTGTTTGTAATGTTTTGTTCTAATCCAATGTTTTTATATGTTACCATTTTGTTTCGTTTCCTAAAACATCACGTATGTATACAACAGTTGCATTTATGCTCCTCGATGGTCCTCGTTATAAAAAATCACGGATTCCTTGAGATCATATGTTTTATACATATATATTATATATATATACACATAAATTAGCACTGTGCAAATAAATGGCTTAATTCTGTACTGAAATGTGTATATACATCACAATTGTTTTTTTCTCATATTCACTTGATCTGTTACAGTCATGCTACATTTGTGGAGCTTATAAAAAATATATATACACTTATATACAATAGCTCTCCTTTCTTGATTCACACAGTTCCCAATTCGGTTCAAACTACCTGTACCTTGATCTATCCTACCCTCAACCATGATCCACATTTATCTTAGTTCACTCTTGGAACACAGGAAGAGTAGCCTAGCCACTTGATCTTGATTTACATTACACCATCTTGGTTTAAGGTAATCCTATCTTAGCTTAACTGTCAATTTTGATATAAAATAAATCCCAATTTGATTCACATACTTCTCCATCTTGGTTCATTCTAACTCTATCTTGAACCTAACCTTTGATCTTGGTTTATATTAAGTTGATTAACATTATTCCTCCATCTTGATTTACTCTAACCTTATTCTAACCTAACCTTTGATCTTGGTTTATATTAAGTTGATTAACATTATTCCTCCATCTTGATTTACTCTAATCTTGTTTTAACATAATCTTTTATCTTAGTTAATCCTGCCATAGTCTAAAGTTTGATTTGGGTCTATATGAACCTGATTTGGTTCACATTACTCCTCCTTCTTGGTTCATTTTAGTCTTGTCATCATGATTTACACAATAATGTAATTAATGATAAAACTTTTCTGATGATATGTTTTAAATACAACAACACTAAATGTTTGCAAAACAAAATGTGGACTTAAAAAAATCATTGCTTTAAACATTACTTCTGGTATCATTTCTAAATTCATTATATCAAAGCTACTATTTTCTTGAAACAACACAAATGTCACAAATGTGTTTTACAAAACTAGATATATTCCAACTAACAGCTAATAGATGCCATCTCCTAAGTGACAACACCTTACCTGTTCTTCAGTGGAGGATGATGAAGTTCTACCTCTACCACCAGGGGACTGTTTATCCAATAATGGTGAAGCAGCCATTGGGATTCCTGCTTCAACCATGGGTTCATCCCTGCTCCCATCTCCACACCACCCTTGAGGAGAAGGGGGCAGATTCCCAGAAATAGGAGAACCATATGGAGGAGAACTGATCGGAGAAGGAACATCAGAAGACAACGATCGTCGGCTGGGAACAGGCACGGGAGAACCTAATACACGGAAGAAACGTAAAACATTTTTCTATTTTGAAGGTTTCACAAAAATAGTAATCCAGAATAATAGCATAAATGTTCAAAGAACTTTTTCAACATTCTAGGGACCAAAATATATGACCGTATATCAAAGACTGTGACACAAAATAACCAAATGAAAGAAAAGTTCTTTTGTAACTGTTAGTTAAAACCTGATAAGGAAGTAGAAATTTATGTAGTTTTATGTTCTGCATTTACAATCACAAATAATAAATTGTCCACTGTCCGTGTTTATATGTCTTTTCAATTTGCCTTTTTTAATTATTTGATATTCTCAGTTGACACAATAGATGGTGCTTGAATAACTATTCCAAACGATAGCAAACAGCCACACAGCATAGTAAATCAACTCAGTACAGGGGTCATCTGGCTACAGATTGTGTCTGTATTGTGGATAATACTGCTGGTTTAGCAGGCACTTTTCAGGTTGTTGTATTTTGCAATTTTTTTACATGCCAGCTGTTCTTTTGACGGCAATTTCAGACAGGCAGACATAGAAGAACTGTAATGGACAAACAAGAGAAGCACTTAACTGTCTGCAGTGGTAAAACGTCTGTGATCTTGGAAAGTGTGAATAGAAATGAAGAGAGTCCAATGGATTTGGAAGAGAACTCAAGATGTTCCTCCTACAAATTTTGTGATCAACTGAAGTGCAGACAAACTTTCAGTAATAATTTTATCCTGGAATAACATTCTCCTGCAGCCCTTGAAGGATTTTACAATATGCCAACAGGCAAGTTGATATTTTAGTAACAATCTTGTAAGTCTTTAAGTACAATAATATAACTACCACAGGACTATATATTGGTACATTTGGTAAGAAAAAACAACAACCTGTAACCTATAGAGATTTTTAATTACACCAATTATTTCAGTAACCTCTGTGTCATCAATCAATGCACAGACTCCACAGTACCATTTATTAATATCAGAAGCTCATAATAATAGGAAAGATGTTCCACGATACCGTTAACATTAATTACATAAATAAAATAAGCAAGGCTTTTGGTACTCATGTGTTTAACTTCAAAGGAAGAATGATAGCCATCTCCACTAAAACTGTGAAATATAAACAATCTATCAATTTTACAGGCAGAAAAATTAGGCTACATTTGGAGTACTGTGTTCAGGCTTGGGCTCCTTACTTTAGAAAGGACATTGAACTGTTGGAGAAGGGTTCAGAGGAGGGCTACTAGGATGATACCTGGGATGAAAATGTTGTCATAAGAGGATAGGTTAAGAACTCTGAACTTGTTTTCTCTTGAAAAAAAAAAAGAAGAGTTAGAAGGGATCTGATTGAGGTGTTTAAGATTGTTAAGGGAATTGATGGTGTTGATGCATCATGTTTTTTAGCATTTAATGGTTAGAATGGTAAGTCTAGGGAACACAAATATACATTTTGGCAGGGTAAGAGTCTTCTTCATTTAAGATAGTTTTATTTTTTAACAGGGTGGTTGGCCTTTGGAAGGAGTTGCCTTCAAGTGTGATGGATATACTTAATGTAAGGAAGTTGAAGGGAAAACTTTACAAATATTTGAATAATAAGAGCTGGCTTTGAGTGTTTTAGTATTTAGTTAAATTTAGTGGATAGGATGGCCTAGATGGACCACAAGGTTTCTTGTTGTCTTTAATATTATGTTAAATTTTAAACATTCTATATTTCATGTCTAAAAATGTTAAACATACCTTTGTTCAAACCCTACACACCTTAAACATCCTTTAGTTCAAGTCTACACACCTTAAACATCCTTTAGTGCAAGTCTACACACCACCTTAAACATCCTTTAGTTTAAGTCTACACACCTTAAACATCCTTTAGTGCAAGTCTACACACCACCTTAAACATCCTTTAGTTTAAGTC